ATATATATATTATTTTTTATGTAGAGTCATTTTGGATAGTATTGCAATACTTTAAACTAATTTGGTTTTTCATGCAAATTATCATTCTATATGAAGTTTCATCAACAATTTTATAGGTAAATTATATAAAATATGCATGTACGTAGTTTATTTAACAAGGGATATTGTCAAATTCATTTATATTACAATTCAATAATATAATACAACAAGTTGAGCTAAAATAGAAGTAGCTCACAATTCTTATATATTTACATATCAATGTTTAAGAAAAAGAAATTTTCTCAATGGTTTAATTTTAGCATGTAAAAATACGTCGATCTGATAATTTTTTAAAATTAAGTGTTTGGGAAAAAATTTACCTACGATAGACATAGGCAGCACTGCGTACAATTTCTCGGTATATCGATGATACAACGGGATTATATCCGCGATATAACCCTTTGTAACCTCCATCTAACCTTATGTAACTTACTTGTAACTTATCATATATGATAACAGAAACGCAGAATTTATTTGTAGGTTACAAATATGTTACACTATGTTACATAGAGGTTACAAGGGGTTATAACATAGGTATAATCCCCTTATACCCTTCTTATAACCTTAAAATCGCACGCAGCGCTGCGTACATCTATCGTACGCAAATATAATGTTTCGAATGCTCTGCATGTAATTATCCCTATAATGTTTAATATATTTTATAATTTTAGCAAGAAATATGTACTATAAATGGCATAGTACTGAAAATAGTAAGATGATGTGCCCTCACCTGCAATACGCATTCATCCCATTCTCTTGTTCTTTCATGCCAAGAAGAATCTTTAGTAGGCTTGATGAGACATCACGAATTAGGCCTGTTCCACAAATAGGATAAATCTAGAAGAGGAAAATGCAAAAAATAAGGGGTAAAAATGCTATTTTAATACATAATAAAATATGTAAAATTCAATTGCTTCTACTCCTTTTGTTTTTTTCTTTAATTAAAACATCCTCCATTACTCATTTCATTGTTTCAATATGGCATCTAAATTAAAGGCCGTTTTTATTTTGCTTGTTTATATTTTAATTTGACATGATTAAAACATATATTATATATTTGAGTAAGATATAATTAGTTTTAAGTATTTAGAAAATTTAAAATTTGTTTTTGGTGTTTTAAAAATATGTTTAATTTATTTTAAAATAATAATAATAATAATAATAATAGATTAAAAATATGTTAAACAAATATATTAAAAAAAAACAATAAAATAAAAAAAACAAAGAAAATAAATTGATTCCAAATATGCCCTAAAGTCTATTTGCCATCATTTTTTATTTTTATTTTTTATTTTATTTTCAAAAACATATTTTAGAATAATTTAAAGGTGTTTTAATCTTTTGTTATAAAAATAATCAAAATATCTAAAAACATTTTGAGTGTTCTAAAAACAACCTCATCACACTTCAGCATATTTTATTTTAAATCAAAATAAAATAAAATAAAAAATACAAAATAAACAAAGGTGATGCCAAACAACACTAAACAAACACATTTTTTTTAAAAAAATAAAATAAAATAAAATAAAATAAAATAAAATAAATAGACAAGAAACATGCCATAAATATAAGTTCTATCTACAAAAAAAAAATTAAGAAATGAAAAATATTTCAAAGCATCATAACCTAATTTTGCAGTTAAACAATTAAAGATCTAAAAATAAAAAAAATGCCCTCGATCAAATATAAAACAGTTAATGATTAAGGGCCCGTTTGGGACAGCTTATTTGGTGCGATGGCGTTTTAAAAATGCACCTAACTTGTTTGGGTAAACTGTGTTTTGGCAACTTATGCATTTCAAAACGCTGAAAACAATCAAAACGCAGAAAACAACGTTTTCACACAACACCTATCTAGGTGTGGTGGGAGCTTATTGACAATGATATGGATTTTCCAAAAAAACAAAAGTTTGTAATAGCCACCACAGCTAGTTTATCAGCGATTATTTTTAATCAGTTTATCAACATATTATTCAATAAGCTACAGCTGCCCCAAACAAACCCTAAATTTCTCCTTCACATTAACCTATAAAAAAAAACCAATAAAGAAGAGGTAGAATAAAAAATAAGTAAAAAAAAAAACTTTTGAGCAATGCCCTTTCACTGAGAAAACATAATAATATAAACTCATCAATATGTTTTCTTGCATATTACAGACCTCCTATATATAAAGGAGAAATCAAAAACACTCCTCTTTCGATTTAAACCCTCCAACAAATCCAACTTTTGCAAAGCTAATACCTTTAATTACAAAACACTCCTTCGAAGCCATACTAAAAAGAAGCTTCACTTTTCCCTCAACAATGGCTAGCAAGAAAAACAAGCTAAGGATATATATATAAGTTAAGAGAAAACAACCCCAAATATGCTAAGAAATCTCTATAAAAACAGCATGATTAAACGGAAACCCTAATTTTTAAGTAACCAATACCACTTCTTCTTCTTCTTCTTCCTCCTCCTTTTCTTTTATCCTTTATCTCTCTCTACCAATTATTACCTCCATTACCCACCATCTCATTCCAAAACTGCCGCGTATCTCCTCCTTCCCCTCTGCCCTGCTCAAAAACCACACCTCGAGGAGCACTTGAACCAAACAACAACCTTTCTTCATCATGATCTCCAGCTCCTCCACCTGCACCAACCTGAAACCCTAACCCACGCCCCCTAAACTCCTGTAACCCTACAACCTTATGCATGAAATTATTTCCCACCATCTCTCCCCCCTCCAACCCTCCACCCCTCAAAATCTCCAGCTCCGATAGCCCAAATCTTCCAACTTGGTTCAAATCTCGTACTTGAGCAATACTGAACTTAGGGTTTTGCATGAAAGAAGAAGAAGAAGAAGAAGAAGGGATGGATGATGACGTTATAGTAACGGACCGTTTGTTTTTCCGTGAACCTCCTCCGACGGGAATGTTGCGGAGGGACCCACCTTCCGTCCAATACCGACGGCAAGCCTTACAGAAGTAACGTGGCTGCATGAGGCTGTAGTTGTTATAGTAACAAAATTTAGTATTATTTGATTGGCAGCGAGGGCAGTTCAGCTGTTTCTGATCATTCCTTCTACGAATTCTTCTCTCCGAGATCGCTGGAACCCTAACAGCCGCCATCTCGGCTATAACCACTTCCTGATAAGCAACTAATTGAGATTAGTTTTGTGATTAACAGCTAATTAGAAGTTTAATTAAACTGACCTGTGGGCACTGAGCTGAGTCCATGCAGCAGGAAATCGGATCTGGTTTAAATTCTTCTTGCGAGCGTTGGATCGGAGAACCGAAAGAGGTTTAGGGTTAGGTTTCAGAAGAGGAAAAAGGGTATCGTTGAACTGAAAGAGAAGCTGAATGGAAATTCTGTGAAGATTTTTAAAGAGGGATTTTATGACTTAAGAATTGAAAGGCATAGTTTTATGTTATATTAATTGTTGAGAAATTAGGGGCGAAGAAAGACAGTAATCGACACAAATTCAAAATAATACAAATATTTAACAAGGTTCGGCAAAGATGTCTACATCCTCGGGAGAAGAGCGGCGTATTCATTTCAATATTCAGAAAAAAGGTTACAGAATAGAGAGAAGTCTCCTGAGGTTACTAACAGACCTATTTATAATCCCAGGAGTAAACCCTAAGTACAATACATAATTAAAATATTACCCCTATATCGAACCGCGGGGCTTTGCCCCCGCACCCCCAACCCACGTAACTTTCCGATTTGGACAGATTCTTCCGCTCTGCTCCGCTTCGATCCAGCGTCTGTCCCTATATGATATATGAGTCATATCATAACATTAATTTTATGAGGCTTACATAAAAAATACAAAATTTAAATATTACATTGTAAATACAAAAGAATAGGGCATTACATACATGTAAATGCCCCTATTATGTAATATATTTATAAGACTTTAGAATTTGACCAAATCCTTTAAAATAGAAAGCCATTAATTATGTCAGAAACAATGTCTGCCCATCAGCGTAGTAAGAAATCAATTGAAAATGTACGTAGAAAATATTATGTTCATGCTCGGACGACAGCGTAGAACACACCACATTATTATGCACAGAACATGAAGCAATCCGAATCATCATCTTCATGTTCAATTATCCGAACATAACATTTGCTAGGCGTGCCGACACTCTTCACAAAAATTGTGGGCCATAGAATAAATTTATGATTCTAGGCTTGGACTTCTATTGCCATTTTTATTAAAAAATGATTTTTTGAAAAGATTGAAACGATTAATAATTTAAAAAAATGTAACCTGTCTTTTTCTAATAATCTCACTAAAATCTACAATGTCCGATATGCTGTTCATATCGAGACATCATGATCCCAGAATTGTTCGCACCGTAATGTTGACATCCACTTAGGGAAATATTTCTCTTTACTATAGGAATTTTAAAATTCATCCATATATTTTTTTCAGAAAATATTATTTAATAGTAATTTTAGTCATGTGGTTTTTAATGAGTGAAAATTACATATATACCGCACACTTCATATGTATTTACATATCTAACACCAAAGGCTTAATACTTATAATTATGCATAAATATATGCACGAAACTGTGAATTTTGTCTTTTGAAATAGTTGATAATAATAATATTTTGATGTGATTTTAAAGTTTTAAGTGTTATAAATGTAAATATGAAATTTAATTTAGATGTTAGATATGTAGATGCATGAGAATTGTGTGATATAAATATGTAGATGCCACAATAAATATATGGTGTATTTTATTTTAATTTGAAGGATCATGCCTTTAAACTATGATGTATTAAACTTATTATTTAGATCATTTTCTTAATAGAAGTGTCACAAAATAGTTTTATGTAATTACAATGTATAAAAGAAAACATTGACGTTATCTGAAAGCTTAGATATTAGATATGTAAATACGAAAAGATTGTGTGGTACGAATGTAAATGACCCATTCATTTATTTGAAGATTGCAAAAATACTCAAATTTGTAGGCATTTTTAAAATTTTTTAATATTTAAGTAATTTCTATTCTTAAAATAATAATTTAATGTCTCAACAATCAATATTATATGATTACCTCTAAATAATTAAGAGAATTTATGTAAAAAACATGGTGATAATCATCTGTCACTAAATCAGTGATTAGTTGCCTAAATCAGTTTATTAATTTGTGATCATTGAATTAACTAATCAAAAGTGTTTAAACAATTTGGTAAATCATTGTTATTAGTAAACAAGTGTGAAAAGTTTGTTGCATGATTCATTTATATTCATAAATAATATCATGTTTTAAGCTCGAGAACAAGCTTGATTAAGGCTCGATTATAACCCACTCAGGAACATTGCCATTTAAATGCTTATTTTTAAGCTCCACGACATTGTTTGATATGAGTCGTTATTTTTCCCGAAAAGCTTCTCGTATAAAGCTTAAGTAAGGCTCGGTTGAACCACCCTCAATTGCGACTCATTTATTTTATTAAATGAGCTGCTGGTTAATAAGGTTGATAATCCATTTTTGAACTGTGCTCAAGGCAAGCTCGAACGGGATATTTATAAACGAGCTCAAGCTTGAATAGGCACATGCTCGGCTCTGCACGGTTCAATTAGTCTGCGACTCTACATATAGGGGCGGAACTAACCTATTTTTTAAGAGCGGGCAAATTTATTATATTAAGAAAATTGGTTTATCTCGCGTTAATTTTGTCCACGCTTTTCTTCTTAATGGGCGAAATCAGAGGAATGACGGGGCAAATTAAAATAACAGACGAGCAAATAATACTATTAAGAGATATTTTTAAAAATACATAAAAAAAAACATTTTTTCACCAAAAGGGCAGGACCTCCCATTCCTACATTGGCTTGGCCTTATTGTAATAACCATTGTATAGTTGCTTTTATTACAACATACAAGGCATCCAAAACATCGCTATTTATAAATCAAGCATCCTCTTTCATCTATTTGACAAATTGTACTCAAATATTAAAGGTCATGATAAAACTTCAATACATTTTTTTTTTAAATCACATTCACAATGATTTGATTGTGGCACACATAGATGCAACAAACATTTTATTACGTGTAAATGCATCGAACATTAAACCTACTCTAGCAGGGGAGTCACCATTCGCTAATCTCCCCCAGATATTATAGAGTTTTTTTCAAAATCTTGACAGTTTTTGTTAGCATGATTCCATGCCACTTCACCCCTCGCTAGGTGAAGGGCAAAGGCGGCAAATTGATCAGGGTTGAAGCTGGGCGATGGAGGGTGATTTCAGGTGTTTTTTATGTAAGTATTAAAGTTCGGGTGTGATATACGTAAATTCTAAAGGGGTATCTGGTAGCACAATTTTAATTAGATTAAGTCATGTATTTAACCTAAATTCAGCCAAACACCAAAAAATTGAAAACAAAGTCCAACTCTCCGTTAAATCCAGTTATCTTCCATTTGGTCTTTGGTTTATTGTGTGACGTAAATTCAGATTTATCAAATCCGATTGTGAGGTGGATTAACGGATTTACACCGGCATTGTTCTCGTGCTCCATCTCCGACGCGAGCTCGGAAGATTTAGCAGATTTGACAAATCATATATAATGTAAATCTGCATGGCATATGGAATTCTCATTCAATAAATTAAAATATATTTTTATAAATAATAATTATTCTTGACACAATATGTGATGGTCCTAGTGGACGGCCTCTTGTTTAGTTTTTAATCTTTGAGGCGTTGTTTGGCAGCATATGAGATTTACCTTATGGTGCGGTTGGGGCGACGTGTGGGTGGCGGTGCGGTGGCTGACCAAGATTTATGGCCATTTGGGACGGTGTCTGGGTCGTGGCATCACGTAGTTTTGATTAAACACAAGCCGCGGGTTCAACCCCCCGACCCGAGTTCAAGAAGCGTGTTTTAACACGTTACCCCTCGTGTTTTTATCCGTTCTTTCGGCCATCGCTGCCCTAATTCCATCGTCGCTCCTCTATTTTACACCTTCCCTCGTCGCTCATCTATTCGACGTCGTCCCAAACTAGCCACGGTATCATCTTCCCCTATCCTCTATCTCACGAACGATACTCTCTGCTAGTTTTTTTTTTCTCTGGCATCATCTTCCCTTATCTTTTATCTTGTGTACAATAATCTCAACTTGTTTTCTTTTTGTTTTCTCTCTGTTGGTTCTTGCGGTGTGGGTGGTTCTTTTGTTGGTCGCGGTGTTGGTGTGTTGTGGGTGATTCTTGTGTTGGCTGTAGCCGTGGTGTTGGTGGTTCTTGTGGTGTTGAGTGGTTCTTCTGTTGGTTGTGGTGTTGATGTGTTGTGGGTGGTTCTTGGTTGTAGACACGGTGTTGATGGTTCTTGTGGTGTGGTTAATTGTTATGATACCTGTGTCTGTTGTGAGTGGTGGGTGGTTCTTGTGTTGGTTGTAGCGGTGGTGTTGGTGGTTTTTTTGGTTCTAACTGTTGTGTTGATTGTGACTGTGGTATATGTGTTTTTTTTTTTTTTTTGTGGCTGTTGGGGTGTTTTGGTGGTTTTTGTGGTATTGGTTGTTGTGCTATCTGTGGCTGCGGTGTGTGATTGGTGGCTCTTGAGTTGGTCATAGCCTAAGTGTTGGTGATTTTTGTGGTTTATGATATTGTGATGGCTTTGCCACTGCGGACTTCAGACTTCCCTACTTACTTCACGTCAGGTGCATAGCTACGGGAGAAAGTTCTACAGGCGCCCACAGTGAATAAAAGGTCCGGAGAAGTGCGAGTTCTTCCGGTGGACAGACAGTCCAGTAGATTTCACTACTGATGGTGATCGGGAATGAATAGCATTTCCGGAGGACTATGGCGCTCATGACGTACGCCTCCTGCATTAAAATTCAATATTCTCATATTACAAATTATAATTTTTATAAATTTTTTTGTCTTTCTTAAGCATAATTAATATTTACTATTACGTGAGGTGTTTTTCTGGATTTTGATACATTTCTGAAATGAATTTTTGCATTCTATAGCATAAAATATATGGATGAGATATTTGATTTCAAATTACAGAAAATAAACAATCAACTAGCTTACAATTAAACTGCAGCAATTTATTGATAAGCTCCACCTGCTCTAAACAGACCTTACTAAAAAATCCTATAAATCCAACTTTATTAAATTTTGAATAGGTTAAATTTGAAAAATTACGTGACTATGAATTTATTAAATCATATAAATTTAGTGAAACAATGCCATCCCAAAATTTATTTTGTGGATCGTCTCGCAATATTTGGCTTAAATCCTGCCTAAATCCCTCAGGGAAGTCCCACCGGCGGGGAGATGGTTGCTCCGCCGGAGCATCCCCAACAGCCTTCTGCCGCCAGAACCATAGGCTTCTTCACAACTCTCGGCCTTTTCCAGAACATCCCAGAAGCTTCAGAACGCAAAGATTTCTACTCTGATCTGATACGCAGCCTCCTTAAAGTTGACCACATCGACCGCGGTCAAATCGCATGCACGCTCAAGGTCAACGCCTCTGTCGTCGTAATCCACCCCAACCCTTCTTCTGTTTTCTTTTCTATGGTTTTCCTCAAATTTTCTCTCTGTTTTCCCCCATTAATTTTTACTATTTGATATTCTGCAACGAGGTAGAATCCGTACAACACCCTGCACGGGGGAGTTGTGTCCTCTGTGGCGGATTTGGTGGGACTAGCTTGCGTGAAGACGGTGTATGGGGATAAGGAGTTCTTCCTTGGGGAGTTCAGCACTTCTTATCTTGCCGCCGCCAGGCTTGATGTGAGGAAAATTAGTATTATTTTTATTTTTTTGGTGTCCATTTTAATTCTTTAGTCAATTGTTTTGTTCTAGTTTTTTTAAGGTTTACATGGAACGACGGAGATTTTAATGGCAAGTTCGTTTTTTAGCTGAAAAGTCTCTTCAGAGGATTTGTGTTTCTTCCTTTTTAAGGAGTTATTGTATTAATTTTCGGGTTAATGAAGGCGAGCATTAGCACTTTTTTTTTTTGCTAGGGGTTTTCCCTTCGGCAAGGGCAGAACAAGGTAGGTTGCCCACTTCAAATTCAAATTTTTTCTTGTATAAAAGAACAATTTGGTCTTTTGCCCCTTCTTAAGTATTTGTTTTGCTCATTCTGAAACATCATTTTGACTTATGTTGCCCTAGCCCTTCCCACATTGGGGTCTGGGGGTATTTTAAAAAGCAAAATATACATTTACATGCGTTGGTAAGGCCACATATGTGTAAAAATTGAAGCTTAGGTGTTAGATATGCAAATACATAAGAATTAAGTGCCATGTAAATTTTCTTAAGGCTATGTTTGTTATCACATAAATTTTCGGATTTATGCATGATTTTAACGTAAATCCATGCAAATGCAACCGATTTTTAGGCGGATTAATGGATTTAGTGCATAAGAAAATTAGATCCCGAGAAAATGTTAAACATAAGAGATAGATTTTAGCGGATTTAAGTTAAATCATACCAAACATCTTCTTGGATTTAACAACACTTGATTTTATAAATTAGGATTTATCGGATTCATTAAATCCTACTTAACCTAAATCCTACGTGCAGCCAAACACCCCGTAAATTTTAAAATTAGGTTTGTTTAATTCGCTTGATGCAACGTTGTTAGTGGATGTCAATTGTTTGGTTCATTGACATTTTTTGAATGATAATTTCATAGGTTATGTTTTGATGGCATTTAGATGTCAGCCAAATTGGTTATCTAAATCATTATATTTATTGGATTTCTTATATTTTTTGTGGATCTTAAAATGAATATTGATTTATACCTATGCCGATAAAATAATGAAAAAAGCAATTTTTTTTCTTTTTCCAAAATATATTTTACTTTCTTCAAATCAAATGGGTCCAGAGTAGGTTCCCTTATTGCCCATTTTTGGAACTATTTTGATGTTGTTGCTTTTTTTGTTGTGCATATCAATATTTGTAAGTGTTATGTTGAAATTTCTCATGGTTACAGATGATAGAAATCTATTTTTTATACTTATTAGGAACACTAAGCAGAAATCTGCTTCAAGCATGTTTAGTTCTGTTTCACTGTATTGCAATTTTTGCTTTGGAATTTTTTGAGTTTATTTGAAAACACACTTATGAGAAAGTCGTCTTAGATGGTTTGGTCACATTAAACGTAGACCATCTGATGATCCGATCATGAGAGTGGATGTTTTAGATTCGACTTGTGTTAAGAAAGACAGAGGTAAACCTAGGAAGACTTGGACTTACTATATAAAAAATGATCTTAATTTACTAGAACTAAATGAAAATATGACACTAAATAGGACACAATGGTGAAAAAAGATTCATGTAGCCGACCCCATGTAGTGGGATTAAGGCTTTCTTGTTGCACTTGAAAACACACTTATATGTTGTTTTCAGAATTTTATGTCTTTTTTATTTATGATTTTTTTGGGATCCAATTTACCCCTTGTCTAGTTCAATTTATATCCACTTCAATTAGTTGTGTTATTATGAAAATTGAACTGAATGAATGAGAGGTTTAATATTCATTGATTCAATCACGATTGGATCAAATGATTTAATAAATATAAAAAAATATTTAAATATCATCTGAATGGTGCAATAGTTATGAAATAATGTAAATATGTAAATAAATAAATAAAAACGACCACATAAAGTATTTTCAATTGTTGAAATTTTTAACAACTTCAGAATTTAAAGCCATAAGCAAAAGGTAAATGGTCTATTGAAATCTTGTTATATACCTTTTTAAAAATTTGATTATATGAAACTGAAATAAAAATGAGAACAAGTTAATAATAACTCAAAAGTAAAAATTTCCATGATTCAACATACATATTCATCTTGCATTTGCAATTTTCAATTGAAAGATGAAAATTGAACGCTCATGAGTTATGCATCATAATACAGGTTATAGCTAGCATTCAGGATTCCAAACACACCAACATTTATGAAGTCTACTAGAAATCCAAAAAGATAATTACAAATCAAAAGCATAGAAGTATAAATAGTTTAGTCTAAAGATGATACATATTCAAAATTCTTTCTGAATAAATGTATCCAAAAAATATGTTTTCCTAATTGTTGTCTACCCATTAGCTTCCTTTTCAAAGTTTTCAAAATTTTCACAATCAAGATTTTTAGTTATAGTGCCATTGAGGTCACCTTCATCCACTTATTTCAGTTTTTAAGCTGTAGATGTATAGCATAAGCAAGTACAATAAAAAAAATTATGCTGAGTTTCCATATTGGATTCTTTAGTAGATGGAATAACATTATCTTTTTAAATTTCACAAGTCATCATAGTTAAACTGAAAATTATGTTCTTCATTAATGGTAAAAAAATATACGATCGCAATACATATGTAATTGAGAAGACCATAACTTTTTTTTTAGTTGCAATTTAAAAAAATAAATATAAGTTATTTTTTTATTGTGTGTTATCATCTATTGATTCTATTTTACTTATTTTTCAAATTGATGTTATATTGAGCGTAGAAGACATCATTTAACCTTTGATGATCCATATAATTTCTTCTTTGTTTGAATTTGCTTAAAGTGTTTCGATATTTTTCACATCTCAAGCAAAAATAAATTTGACTAATAATTCTTATAGTTAACTTAAACCAAATATCTTCCACCATTCACTTATATATGAAAAATTATTAGGTAATATAAAGAAAATTCAACTGAAATACATATAGAAATAAGTATAATGGTATATAACATCTGCACCAACTAAGCTGCATTTCCTTGGACACTGTTAGAGCTATTGATTTTTTTAAAAATTTCAAAATTATTACGAAAAAGCCTAACCTCATTTATCTTCAATGTAGGTTTATGACATGTTTATTTTTAATAATTTTAATCAAGCCTTACATAATTTCAAGTTATTACAATAATTTTTTTTTTATCATATTGAAAATGAGGGTTCAAGAAATAATTAGTTTCATGAATACTTTGTCGAAGTTGATTATCACATCTATTTCTTATGATGACGGTATAGTATATGATTTATAACATAATTTTGCATTCCTAAACGTGTTTGTAATTGACTTTTTTTTTTACTTGCCATTTATAAGGATATTTAAGTGTTGACTTTTTTTTTGTACTTGCCGTTTCGAAGAATATCTAAGTGAGGGCTTCTCATCATAATCAATTATTTGAAATACCTACAATCATTAAAGAATTATCAAACAATATAGAATTTTGATTTTATTGATATTTTATTATATAAAATATTGTTGCATAAATGAGAAATGTTAACTTTATTAAAGGCTTTGATAACTTTGTCATTATAAAACAATTAGTCTAGAATTCAGAATCTAAAATAATAAAAGTCATTCCTTTTTTATGATTTTATACAAATTTAAGTCTATATAATTCTTGCTTGTGATAAATGTTTATATATCATGTGTGTTCATGAACCTCTTGAAAGTAATAAAGGTGGTAGCAAATCGTATTGCTCCAGGATATACTATCCTTTTTCAAGTCAGGCCTTTTTCGAAGTCAAGCCAAAATAAAAACTCACTTTTATAATTTTTTTTCAATTTTGATGCATTTTTTGCAATCTCAACGATGTCTAACATACTACCGGTATCTTTTAAGTAAGATTCAGACACTATGCAGCACAATGTCCAATAACTGTTGTCATATCTCTCAAGTAATGACTCCCAAACTTTATAGTTTACAACATTATCAGCTTTTATTTGACCATATTCTTTGATCCCATTCAATAACTTCAATAAATAAAACATATAATGTTGTTGCATGTTTCTTAATCTCAGGAGCATCAAAATATGTTAAAATTGAGATGACGCATGGGCAATAAATTAGAAAATTATTTATAGTTTTGCTTCTATTATCCATTCATTTATCAACCATTAGACTGCATATGACTTTTCAACTATGTCTGTAAGACTTAACAAAATGTCTGCATTCTTCATTGCAATATCTTAATAAATTTACTCTGATTTTTTTAATACGAAGATAAATGGTAGCTATATGTGCTACAATTTCGTCAATAATTTTCTATACAAAGGATGAATTCAAAGCATCCATAGTAGACCCGAGCATTGGGTGGGCCGGGCTTGACATGGACCGGGCTTATTTAGGCTTTGACCAGTCAAAGCGGGTTCGGGCCGGGCTTGAGCCCAGTTTCTATTTAGAATTTATAGCTAAACCCGCTCACTAAATGAGTCGGGCTAGCCCATGGGCCCGCTGACCTTAATAGAAAAAAAAATATTTCATATGAAAATATAAGCTAAAAATTTTATATTTTAAAGATATATCTAAATTTTACAAATCCTACGAGACTTTAATTCCAATTCCAAGGATTTTCCAAAATGAAAAAAATATCAAGGTTTTAAATATGTAAATACATAGGAATACATAGTATGCCTATAAAAATTAAAAGTTTAGATGTTAAACAATAAATAAAAAAAATTGAATGACATGCGTGTAAATATGAAGTTCAGGCGATTGAATTATATATATATATATATTAAAAGGTTGATCGCCGATCAACCCCATAGTCTGACCGCGGGGCGAACCCCCCCTTTCAGAAAGATGTGCAATTCGATCATACACAGAGATCAAACCCACGACCCAAGGGACAAAGGGACAAAGATGTGCAATTCGATCCTACACAGAGATCGAACTCCCGACCCGAGGGACTTATACCAAAGGCCGCAACCAATAAATCAAGCTAAGGCGCACGCGCGCGCGCGCACACACACACACAAATATGTTATATATATA